TACTTGTTGTCTTTTACTGCTGTTGTTCGCCTGGGTGTAATTTCTGTGCTTTGTGTTTTCGTGTGTTCTTGAATTCGCCGAGCTTCGTTTTTAGTTCAACCAAAGCTTTCATGCTTCGTCTTGTTTACAAACGTGTTTGTTTTTTTTTATATAGTGCCGGTGTGTGTGGTTTATTATTTATTAATAAATTTATTTATTTATAAATATTTATTATTAAATAAATAAATATTACAAATATTAAAGATGAGTGTATTATTTATTTGTTTAAATATATTTTATATTACTTGCATTTTCAATGTAATCTTAGGTTTGTTCATTTGGTGCAATTACGTGCATAGGGGTGGGGGGGTGGGTTTATGGAAAGTTGTTTACGTTTTAAATTTACAATAAAAATTAACCAGTTTTCATTGTAGATATTAACGCCACAGTGATTGTATGTAGGTTGGAAATTAGTTAAAATTTTCATCCTTACAACTGTTAACAATTATTATAAGATAATATAATAATAAATTAACATTATTACAGCCTCTATGAGTTTTTTCTTGCTAGTTATTTTTGGTGGCAAATTGGAAGTAAGCATATCTAAATTTCTTTTTAAATTTTGGCGCAACCAAGAACGAGTAAAAATACAAAATTGGCAATACTGATGTGACACTCTGCATAACATGCATATTCGGCATACCCCAAAAGAGCGTAATTTGCCGAGCCCGAGACACTCTGCATAACATGGCCCTTGGTATGTATAATATAAAATCATAGCAACATGACGACAGTGATAGTTGACAGGAATAAGAAAAACTTTGACAGATATCTTTTGTGTGCTTCTTCGAGCAGTTGTATTTCGTCAGCAGACGAGTTCGTTGTGTTTAGATTCAATCTTTTATCATAGTTACTTCTTCGAGTATATCGTTCATAAACGATTTTTTTTAAACGTTGTTTGTGATTTGTAGCGACTACAAGAACAACAGCAAATGAAAATTATTAAGTACAATTAAATTGTCGTGGTTATTTTTGGCATTTGTTGACAATATGTCTCGTTCATATCATATCGAGAGATATGAACTGGATCGAAGACGGAATTACAAAAGGCAAATTGGTAACAATATCATTACTTTATTTAAATTAAAGCCACATAATCTTTTACGAATAATGTTAGATGTTTTATTTAATAGTTAATATAGTATATTGTATAATATATGTTATTAAGTATTCTGTTAACAACTTTTCTCTTTTATTTTAAAACAGAAAGGATCAACAAAGTATTGACATTTCCAAGGGAGGCCTTAGCATCGTGGAAGTTTGTCAATAACGTGAATAGAATTTTTGGGAAACTTATGTATTGACCTTCGTATTAATTTCTGATAGTGTTCCTCGCCTAAAAATGACACGCATAGAAAAAAAATGTTTTATAAATTTTATAATTATATAAAATATGTTTATATAAAAAATATATGTATAAGTATATATTTTTTGTTGTTTTTGTTTTTAATTTATAAGTTATTAGTGTTATTATTAGTTATTAATTAAAATAAATCTTACTGAAAATTTAAACTAAACATCGCCTTATTTCTTTTCTATTTGGGTTGTGGTTGATTAGTGTTTAAACTTGTTTTGAAGCCCACTGTTGTCTTCGTAGAACCGACATATGGGTCATTTTTTTGACAATACTCTTTCCAAAATATTAACATTCTTTTCTAAAATCGCAGCTCATTTTAATTTTACCCTTTATTTCATAATATTTACTGCGCGTACTTACTAAAGTCCAGCACTTCGTTTAGTTTATAGTAATAGTTGAGGAAAGCATAATTTGTGAATTTTTATAAACCATTGCATGTTCTTTTGTATATGCAACTGATGCATTCATATTGTGAACAAAATTTAAATTTCAGTGACTTATTTTGAAATGCAAGATTTGCTATTAGCCAAAACATAACATTTGATAGATTGCAACAGTGATTCCAATGTCTCGCTTAGAAAATATAGGCCAGCCAGCATTTTTTGGCACACTTGCGAGCCACCGAATAGTACATATAATATATACTAAATTATTTAAATTTTCTGTATTTTCCATGCTAAATTATTTTCTTCCAAGGATACAACATTTAATGGCAGCTGTTTAAAATTAAAATGTAAACGAAGAAAAGCTCTACAATTAGAAATTTTTGGCACATAAAAGCTCTTTTCCATGTCTTAAATAACTTGTGCTAAAGTGATCGATAAAAGGCTCAATGTTTCTAAGTAACTTATAGCACATTCACACTCATTTAGGCGGTTTTGCTCATTATAATCAGTAATAAGCATGATTTACTATACAAAGAGCTTTTATACAAATGAACTCATTTGCAATAAATAAGTTCATTTGAGACTAAAAATGAAAAACTAAAAAAAATTTTCCACAAAGGAAATCACCAAAATTTATTTTTTTTAGGTTGCTGCTAATCACTTGAATTTGCTTATTTGCTTATTTTAAATCAGGAGAGAACACCAGTCTGAGCAGTTTGTTTATACATAATATTATGAAATTAGTGCGCAAAAGCATTTCAGGTGAGTTTTTACAATATTATTTAAGTTCTTCAAAATAATAAATGTGTTTATTAATCAGACCATCGCCAGCGATGACTAGGCATCTATTATTATTTATTACAATTTATAGTTATATAGAATTTTTAATTATTTATTAATTATATCATATAATATGTAATTATTATTATCATTATATTGCTTTCTTTTTTAAATATTTAGAATAGTTAGATTAAATTATTTAGTGATACAAAATTAAATAATAAGATTAGGTTAATTTTTATTAAAACTTAATAAAAAAATGTAGCTAAACATCGTTTTAATTCCTCTACATTTAGATCGCCCTCATTTAACAATGAAATATCTTCTGGTTGTTATCAGTCTAAAATTAGCTGTTATTTTTTCGAAGCGAATACCCAACTTTTTTTCACTGCATCATTTTTATTTATATGAATTTTTTTTTTCTAAAAAAATAAATGTTAATTTTAAACTTTATTTAATAATTATCACTGACCGTACTAACCAAACTTCTGTACTTTCTCTGATTCGTAGCAATTGCTGACGAATGTATAGTTATTTGCATTTTCTTTATTTTAAATAACTTTTTTTTTTGATGAATTCCACGGCATTTTTGTACTGCCTTGTTTCTATTGTTCTCTTTTTCACACAAATTATATACAATATTTTTAAAATTTTTCACTTTATCTATTTTGAAAGATTAATTACACACAACACCGAAATTTTTCTTTATATTTCATTTGTAGACATAAAAAAGTTCTTTAATAGCTTCTTTGACACATAAAAGTTCTATCAGCGGCATAAATGAGCTCATTATAATGTAAACGTTTCCTTATATATATAAATGAACAAGTGTCTAAAGGAGACAATGTGAATGTCCTCATTAGTGGTTATAATGAGCACCCTCGTTTATATAAGATAGTGTCAATGTACTATTATTTCTTACTTTGATTGCAAATCAATTTGAAATTAAATAGATTTGCAGAGAAGTATGGACAGCTGATATTAGGATTTAGTCGTAATATGAACAAAATTAAACAGACGTTAACTTGGACAATTCACAATAGTACAACAGCACAACTTTATATTATTGTGAGTAGTTTTGAGAAATAAATACAATTTATAGTGCAAAGTAAAGGGTGTAACCGTAAAATACTAAAAAAAGTAATAAAAAGTTTGCTGTATTCGTAAACCATGAGTTCTTTTAATTGTTGTATAATTTTGTTTTTATGTTACTTATTTCGCTATTAAAATCTAAAATATTTCTTTGTAAGCTATATTTTCACTTAAATAGTAAATGGTGCGAATTGTTGTTTGTGCCTTTTGATGTAATTTTTTACTGCTGACTGAAAACAAAACTGAAACTGACAAAACTGAAAAAAGCTTGTTAATTTTAAAAACATAATATATGACAGATTGCAGCAATGATGTCAATATGTCACTAAGGACTTATTATTTTAAACCGCACTTCGAAGCTGTCGAATACCTATAATATGATATAAATGATGTATTAATTCATAAAAGGATACTAAGTAAAAATAATTAATCACTGCGTTGTGTCCGTTTTTGTTAAGTGCTCTTTGGTAAAAACTTTTTAAATATTATTGACCTCTGGTAAGGTTTTCCCATATCTATCAAATTTTGTATGTTTAAAACAAAAACATTACAATATTTTCTTTCACGAGGAAAAAGGTTACTCAACTGAGTAAGTCTAGATTATATATTTGACAACTAGTTTTAAACTTATTTGTTATTGAAATTTTTAATTTATGAGATACAAAATTTGTTGGACATAATATATTTCATATCTCATTATAGTTTCAATATATAGCTTCATTTGGTTTGTTAAGGTTGTAAATGAATACATTTGTTTTGTTTATAAGATATGTCTGCCAATTCAGCTTCAACATCTAGCTCAAGACCAAGTACTTCTGCTGTTCGTGCTTTATCCTTAGAGTATAAATCTTTACAAGAAGAACCTGTAGAAGGATTTCGCGTGAAATTATTAAATGAGGACAATCTCTTTGAATGGGAAGTAGCAATATTTGGACCACCAGATACATTATATCAAGGAGGTTATTTCAAAGCACATATGAAATTCCCTCATGATTATCCATATTCACCGCCTTCTATTAGATTTTTGACAAAGGTTTGGCATCCGAACGTATATGAAAACGGCGACCTCTGCATATCAATATTGCATCCCCCTGTTGATGATCCTCAAAGTGGGGAACTTCCTTGTGAACGGTGGAATCCGACGCAAAATGTGCGAACAATCCTTTTATCTGTAATATCATTACTCAATGAGCCTAACACTTACTCTCCAGCAAATGTGGATGCTTCAGTTATGTATAGGAGATGGCGTGACTCTCAGGTAAACTTTGTTCATTAAAAAAAATAAACGGTTATTTATTTTATGTTTAGGGTACAGATAATGAATATCCAAACATTATTCGGAAACAAGCCCTAGCTGCAAATGCAGAAGCTAAGAAGGAAGGCATCATTGTTCCAATGACATTAGAAGATTATTGTATTAAACCTGTCCTTAAGCCTATATCGGAACCTTTATTGGACGCAAATTTTTATGACTTCGAAGATGACTTAAGATTTGATGATGTTGAAGATGAAAGCGAAGACGATGAAAATGAAGAATATAATGAAATGGATGATCTCAAAAATAGTAAAAACGAAAATTCATAATTATGAAATATTAAATTAGACACATTTGCTACAGTCCCTCTTTTACATATTAAAAATTTCAATTTCAACGATAATTATGTATATAAAATATACATATTTTAAAATTCTGAATAGGAGTAAATTATATTTATAGTTTGATCGGTGCTTAAAAATTGTCTTTGTAAGAAAATTAGTAAGTACGTATGCAGAAACTTACAAGGAAATCCATGTTGCTCACATTATTTTTTGAATTATACCTTTGCAAAATTGTTTGTGATTAAGCGATACAATGTTATGAAAATAAGTTAAAAATAATATAGAATATAGTAGAGAGTAGAAATCCTCTCGAAATAATTGTGCATTCTTTGGATTTTCATTAAAAAATACTATTTTTTATACCATCTTCTGGAATCATATTTTTCTTATTTACAATTAAAAAAATCACAATTGATTTATTCACAAGATCGACATTTTGGTTTCAAAATGTACAACCATTGTGTCGAATATGTATATGACTCATGATGTTATAACTTCAGTGTCATATTGTATTGCATGATAACATTTAACATAAATATATGACAAGTATGTTTTTAATCTGCATATTTTTGAGTTTGGCAATTGATTTTTTATTACATTTTTATAAATACAGCTGTTTTATCGTAAAAGCGTACATTGGTCAGCTGATAATTACCTGAACTTGCATATAATATGAAAAAAACCTGTTAAATGCGACCGTTCACAACTTCATTATATGTAGGCTTGTATTAAATTTTGATTCCAAATGATTTTCGCATTTCTAATAAAATTAAATTTTCAAAAAGTTTGTAAAATATATTTGTCTTAGTGAAATCTGGCTAGAAGTATATTAAGTGATTGTCAACACAAGAAAATCTGTCAACGAAGATTTTATTTAAATTTTAGATGAAAATTGCCCAAAAATATTTATGTTATATTTGTAAGTTACAATATCAACTAAAATTTGAATATATTTCATGCACTGTAATAGCTCCTTAGATGTCTTTTAACCTAATATTTCCTATTTAATTGTTTATTTGCGGCGGACTTTAAGTGAAGTTTGTGTATATCGTAAATGAACTTTCAGATTTATTCGACCCTATTCGGAATATTCCCACGGAATAAGTTTCTCCCGAAATGTATTTCTCCCTAAAATAGAATTTTTGTATTCTGATTATCAGATAAGGGTTGAAAAAGTCCATGATGTCGTTTTAGCTCAGTCTAGCTTCAGAAAGTGCTTTCCGAAGTACTAGATATTTTTAAAATGCGCTTATGTCCAAAATGGATGTGTTCCAAAGACATCGATCATCCCGGTGTTGTAGGATGCATTAATGGAACACTTTCGAATTCTTGGTATTTAAATCGTAAAAATATAGTAGAAATATTTATATTTTCTACTAAAATATTTTTTATAATTTTTGTTTATTTTGCTGTTTGTAGTTTTTATTGCATTTGGTTTAAACTGGATTGATTTATATGGCAAAACTGTATCTTTCCTTTGGATATGCCACATTACTTTTGATAGTATTGGATCTCTTCTGGTTGCTTGTGCAATGTCTTTCGCAGTGATTAAAAACTGTTCTTTAGCCTCATTGCAGTATAATATTTCAGGTATTTCCGGTATTTGTAGCTTTACATCATTTAAAGGTAACCGGCTCAATGCATCTGCATTCTGGTGATGTTTCCCTTCTCAGAATTTAATCTCGTACTGGTAAGCGCCTAACTTTAACGACCACCTTAACATTCTGGGTGATATATGCTGTGATATTGGTTTTTCTGGGTTGAATAACCCCACTAGTGGTTTATGATCAGTCATTATTGTAAATTGTCTACCACTTAAAAATTGATGAAACTTTTGCACACCAAACATAATGGGTAGCGCTTCTTTATCCAACTGTGAATAATTTCGTTCCGCTCCCTGTAATGTTCTGGGGCCAAAAGCAATCGGTGCTTCACTATCATCCGGCATCTTATGTGCCAAAACAACTCCAACTCCATACGGTGATGCGTCTCCGCATAATATCAGTGGTAAGTCAGCCGAATAATGCACCAACAGATTTTTTGATTGTAATAGTTTCTTTGCTCGTTCAAAACTTAATTTCTGTTCTTTACCCCATATAAAAGGTATCTCTTTTCTTAATAGTCGATACAGCGGTTCCAATAGATCGCCCTTATTTTGTGAAAATCTATCATAAAATGTAATTAACCCAAGAAAAGCTTGTAGCTGTTGTTTATTTATTGGTTCTGGTGCTTGAACTATTCCCTTCACCTTTTCGTCAGTTGGACGCACTCCTTCTCGGCTTATCTTAAACCCCAAAAATGTTATCTCTTGTACTGCGAAAACACATTTTGATTTTTTAAGCTTCAATCCTGCATCCTGTACACATTTCAGAGCAGTTCGTGTTCTATCCCACAACTCTTCCAAAGTTGTTCCGCCAATTAGAATGTCGTCTAAATAAATAATCACACCATCTATGTTCTTAAGAACTCCTTCCATCACCCGTTGAAATATACCTGGTGCCGTTGAAATTCCAAACGGTAATCTTGTAACTTCAAAAAGTCCGCGAATGTAATCTCCAAGATTTCCATCAAAAACTGAACTGAAGTCCATCACTTCTACTGGAATAGTTGATTCTATATTGCATAAATTGCTGGTTATAGTAATTCCCAAATCGTTGAACCAATTTCGACCGATTAGAGCCGGACCTTCACCCGCTGCTACTAACAACTTTAGTTTCTTTGTGACGTTCCCAACCGAGACTGGTACTTCTGCTTCTCCACTCAGTTTAAGATTTTTCTCTGTTCCCCAAGTTCTTAATTGTATTTGACTTGGTTTTAGCGGAATATACGGCATTTTTTCTCTAAATAACTTTTCACTTATTATTGAGTAACTTGCCCCCGAATCTATTTCCATTTGTACCGGTGACTTACTTATCGTAATCACTCTCTTGACCGATGGACTACTTTTAGCGAACATTCACAATAAATACTCCGTCGTTTGAGTTTCCTGGTTTGTATCTAAAAGATTTACTCTGTTTGGTCTTCTCCCATTATTTGTTGCTGGCTTTTTGGTTTTTGCTTTTTTTATGCAAGCTCTCCTAATATGTCCACGCTTTTTGCAATAATAACATTCCGCGTCTTTAAATTTGCACTGATCTGAATGATGATTTCCTCGACAACGATAACAATTCTGAATATGGTCTACTGGAGCACAAATATGTTTTACCTTGTTGCTTGAAATTTTATTCAAACCTGACCGGCTGGCCGATGTTTTAAGTTCCGTCGCATTTTTTTGTGCTGTTTCTGATGCAATAACTTCCTCCTGCGCTATTTTTAATGTTAACTGGTCATTCGCCAGAAGCCGCTTTTGTAAATTCCCGTCGCGTATGCCACAGACTAACCTGTCTCGTAACATTTCATCCAAATCATTGAAATTGCAGTCTTGGCTCAATTTCCTTAGCGCTGCCAAATATTCGGTAATTGATTCGTCCTCTTTTTGGTTTCTCCGATAAAATTTAAACCTTTGTATTATTGTATTCGCTGCTGGACAAAAATAACTAGTCAATAATTTAGTTGCCGCCTCAAATGTAAATTTTTCCTCTAAAATATTAATCGGTGTGGCAACCGATTTTAATATCGTGTAGGTTTCCGTCCCACATGACGCTAAAAAGATCGCTTTTTTCTTTTTTGCGTCTGTGATGTCATTTGCAACAAAGAAAAATTCCATTTGTTCCATGTAAGTTTTCCATTTCCCCGACGCAACGTTATATTGACCCAATTCACCAAAACTCCTCGCCATCCTTTAATGTTTTATCCTCGTCGCCAAATTTTATTATATTCTTATATATAATAACATATACTTTATTTATTAAAGTATTATAATAATTCACAATTTAATATTAATTTTAATAATGATTACGCCACGACACGCTTACTCCGTTTGCACAACACGACAACAACGCATTTTGTCTTTTTTCCTTCTTTCTCTATTTCTTTATGCAGTGTTGCCATGATCGAATATACTACACTCAGCTTGCTTGCGTTTTCCCATAGAATGTCTTTGTATATTTGAATAGTGTACGTAGTTATTGTATTATTTATTTTATTTATTATAATGAAATAAATTTTAAACATTTATATTTCTTATAATAACATAAATATTACACAGTAGTTGTTGTTGTTGTGTGATTTGAGTTAGTGCTATTGCGCACTTTTACTCTATTGTGGCGGTGGGGCTTATCCCTGCCACACACTAAACTTTAACTATACTAGAATCATTATCATTCATTTTCTAACTTATGACGAACCGTAGATTAGCATAGCTTCCTGTGCGTCCTGAGGTGGACTTAATGTTTTTTAGAGCGGGGTTGGGCAACGTATCAACTTTTGTGAATAATTTTAGGGCTCTGTCCTTGACATACTTTATGTCACAATACTATTGGGCTACAACATAACTAAGTGGATAGCTTCACTTCATCTTAGCAGGTGTACACTGCCTTAACTCATGATGAAAAACCAATGGTTAGTGATGCGATAAAAGTATTTAGTTATCCGCCGAACACGATAAGTTGACTGACCTCATAATGACTTTTGAAAAAGAAATTGTGACAAGGTAAAGATTGCAAAATATCTATAATGAATAATTTTGCGAATTACACAAAATTATTACTATAAAGTAAATTTTAATTTTTAAATAATTTTTAAAATTTTCTGGGTTAATGGTGCATGTCTAATTTTAAGGTCACATTAGAGAAAGTTTTAAGCGTTTGGTGAAAGCATCTCTTATTATATGGAGTCTGCTTTCTTCATTAAGGAATTTCAATAATTAGAGTGAGACCAATCTGAGTGTAGAAAGAAGTTTGATTTTGTACTCTCAAAAAGTGTCTGTTTTGCAGTAAGAGTAGTTTAGTTATTACTCCCTTAAGGAAGTTCTAATAGAAATAATAATAAAAACTGAAAGTGGTGTTCTGAAGAGACGTTTTGTTTTAAAGGATAACAATGTGTTTTTGAACTTGAATATCTAAAATTTAAATTAGACAAATTAAGAAAAAGGAAATCATTATGTTTGCACATATGAAAATACAATTCTTAAAACATAATAAAATTCAACTAAAAACAATCGGTGGTAAATAATGTATAACCATGTTTGGAAATAATAATTCGGAAACCATAATTCAAATTAAATTATATACAAATGTTGAAAAAATGACTGGCCATTTTGTATGAAAAAAGTAAAAAACAATAATTTTATACACTCAAATATAATATTTCTTTATTTAATCATAATTTTTAAAATACAACACTTTGTATAAATCAGCTACGCCGTGATAGAAAAGGTATGCACTTCACCAACGTCAGAAAAGGAAAAAGGAAGAAAAGCAAAAAAGAAGCCAAAAGTTATTGTTTGCCAGATGTTAAAATGCTACTGTCAAAATCACTAGATCAGTGATGCCCTACTGTCTGTTTGTTATGCCACATCTCAAACGCATTTCTTTGAATATAATTACAACTAAATTTGTAAGTAGCTGTAACTAAAAACGTTGCCTACATTAAGCGAAATAATTATCAACAAATGATTAGATTAATGATTAAATTAAATGTGTGAAAAAAATATAATTTTTAAAAAAATAGCAAATCACATTGTTATGATTTAGGTATATACGTCCATCGAAAGTACGACCTCCAACAACTCAACCTTTGTGAAAGTCAATGGGTCAACGGCGTTATGCCTGGTTTAGATTCGGTGAGCTGAGCTTCACTTTCTGTATACCATCATTGTGGGATTAACGTGTTAATGCGCCTTCGAAAATGTGGAATTTGTACATTTGCTGGTAGAGTGATCAGCTTGTTTGCTTGAATCAGTGCACCAGCAGAAGCGCAAGAGGTAGCTCATCACCTAGCACAATTGCTGTAATCTCAGCGAAGGAGCGATCCTATTAGTGTCCGATCGGAATAAGAATGGAGTTCCCTTCATCCTAAACACAAGAATTTGTCAGACAATACTGATGAACAGTTGTCTAACCAAATTTAAATACTCCCCTAAGAGGTTCAGCGTAACCCCTCAAACGGATTGAGACTTTTGTGTTAAGCTATGTGTTCATTCTATATGGGTCGCCTTTCAAAGCCTCTATCTGTGTCCGAGAGTGGAGTCACTGTAAAATGGTCTTAGGATTATCTATGTGAGTGTTGCTACAGGTGCTAAACAGAAAATAACCGAACTATGCGACCAACTTAATGGAGACGAATACAAAGCGAACTTTGAGGCTCTGAGGTTTTAATGAGACGTATGTAGCTATAAACTTAGACTAGAGGACGAAACTGATCTTAGCCAAAGGATGCTGGAACTCATAAAAAGCATCCAGAGGGAATGGATGTAAACTCTATCTACTTTTTGGTTTTCATTTAGTTGTAAAACATTGTCTAGCGTTTTCGGTGTTACCATTTTATGTGGCACTTTTCAATTTTCATTAAAAATAATGCCAATTCTTACAAAAATTTTCTTTGAAGTAATCTCGAGCACTTCATATATTTCAATTCCGATGTTATGTTCAATCATTGCATTTTATAAAATTTTTCTCTGATTTAGTTGTTTGCCTTTTTGTTCGTGCATCAAAATGTCACTGTTAAAAATTAATAAATGTTCAACACTCGGTTCACGTTTAAATTATAATTCATAGTATTTTTATTTTCATTGTCTAATTTATAAAAAGTATAATGTTTTTCTAATACAGTGACAAAGATCAAATTGCGACAAACGTTGACAGCATCCACTTGACATTCTTCCTTGGATCACATTATCTTAGAAGCCACTCTAGGTCGTATAGGTATCTTAGATTTTAAAATTTTTATAATTGTAAAGAGAAGAAAATGGAAAATAACAGTACACTCTTCTACTCGATACCGAACATCTATAATCTTCTGCTTCGTCAGGGGCATCCCTTCTACTCCCTTTTGGTTATAAAATGAATGAGTCATAGATGTTTGGAGGGACCATGCTTGAAGATTGAATCTATCCTTTAATGACTGTTGCCATAGATGTGGAAGGAGGAAGGACAAAAGTGTCTGACGAATATTTTTTAACAAGACAATATTTTTATTGTCCATCTAACTTATTTCGAATTATTAGAATTACGCGCATATTGAGTCTATAACCTATAAAGTGAAATGTTTAGGCTCCGGAATAGGCTCCTGGAAATGTATATTCTTAAAGAAGAGGCGATAAAACTCCGTAAAGTAGGTTCTCAACTACTTTTTATTGACGCAACAGGGCTTAGAGACCTACTCTTAACCCAGAAAGAGGCACAACAGACACGACGATCGCAATGTCACATCCCCTAACAATTATATTAATAATGTGTACAGTAATATTGAAACAAGAAAAATTAAAATTTAGAGCTTTGTGCGTTACATAAGCGATTTCAAATGCCGATTTAAGTAATTTAGCACAGACTCTATCATGACTCTCGCCTTTATTGAATCAAACATATGCAGGTTTTGATTGTTTTAAGGCTGTGCGGTTAAAATGTATAGTTATTGAAAAACAACTGTTGGTGCCTTTGCATAAAACCAAATATTTTATTATTAGGGAAAATGCATTCTAAATTAAAAAAAAATGTTATATCAAGAATACAAAATAAAGTTCAAGTATTTGTACATCGGTTGAAAAGTTTTTGCAATATGCTGTATCTAAGTTTGCTTAGCAATAAAGTAAAGGATTTCCTATATTTAAAATATAACGAAGAACACTATTGAATTAATTTAATGAAATTAGTTTTAATCATTTATTATTTAAACAAATTTTATATAATTCAGTACGAAGATTTTCGATTTCTATTTCGCGAAGTTGAATTTCGTTATTTGCTTGCCTTTCAACCTGCAACGCAGCTTTCTTAAGATCATCAATTTCGTTCTTTAGTTCATTATTTAGAACTTCATTATTAATTGCTCGCTGCATTACCTCATGCATTTGCTTCTGATATCCTTGAATTTTGTTTAAGTTTTCTCTTTTTTCGTTTTGCAGAAATGCAATATTTTCACACAGTTTATCGAAGTTTTTGTAGCAGCAGTTATTTGCCAGCACAAATGGTAATCGTTCACCTTCAACAAATTTATTGAGTCCGCCAATTTCGTTGTCACGTTTTTCAACCTTTAAAACATTTTAAATGAATATGAAAGTTATAAGTAAGAAATATCAATATGTACAACCATGAAACTCGTACATATAATCTTTTTGATTTGTGTGTAGTTATTAAACTTTTCTATTATTCTTTTTTGTATTTGTTTCTTGGTTATTATTATTATTACTAATTTTTTTAATCTCTTGTTAATAATAAAAAATACACTCTACGGACAATCACTTATTTAGTAGTGAGCTTATTTCGCTTTGCGTACCATTAAGTTATATTAAAATCAAAATAAAATGTGTTTTCTAAACATAGGAACTCAAAAAACGTTCGCGATAATAGAAATACTCATATCACTATAGACGTTCTAATTGGTCCTTATTAGGCCCTGTATATTAGTATCAAGAGAAAGCTCACTATTCAAAAAAAAAAAAATTAAGTAACTTTTAAAAATTACAATTAAAAGTCATAGGACATACAAATGGCTACAGATACTAAGAGGGACTTCAACAGTTCACTAACCAGTTAAAATCTAAGGCACCACCAACATACGTCCGATAACTTAGCATAAAAAATTAAAGTCAAGCATTCCTCGTCTTGTAAAAGAAAATAAACTTCACACTTTCCAAAAACTATGGGCAATATTGTACCATAATACAAATTTATAAAGCAAATTCTGTCATAACAAAAAATTTACAATAAAAGAAACTTGTAGACCTGCTAACTGAAAAATAGTTAAAGTTTAGTAGTTGTTATACAGGGTATGACTGATACCTTTGGGCTGATGTTGGCTTAAAAAAAAAAACAAAAATAATTGAGAAAGGGAGACCCAAGCTAGCACAGTTATTAATATATTGAACAGAAATTAATTTTCATAATACGTGAACAAAATGAGATGGCCCCGGATGATTGTAAAAAAATCAACAACACCGTTTTGTCAGCTTACAATGTTTGCTGTAACACATAATAAATGTTGAAGAACCTCGTAAACATAATTCCTAAATAGTTCGTAAGAGAATGGCCAAGAGTAAGATCATACTGTATAATACATACATATTCTTCTTTCATTGACGCGACAGTCAATCAAAGTTTATAAACAATATATTATAGAATTCGCTGTGACAAAGATAAAAGAGGAAATTCAATTCTTCCCACTCTAGCTTTGATTTATTGTCATTTGTTCTTCAATTACAGTCACCTTACAAGCAATGCCGACTTAATAACTTCTCTAAACGGGTTACAACTTTCAAAACCAAATAGCTTATGTACAAAGGTATATAATCATACATACCTATATTTAATACAAAAGAGAATGTAGGGACTTACACTCGATCTATATCAAAGCTTTAACAAGTTCTACTCATAGTAAAACCTATAATTAGATAACAAACCTTGTAAAAAAAAATTTAAACATTTGGTTTTAGAAAAACTCAGAATTGGATGGGAGTGACAATTAAATGGATCACTTTCATTGATTAATGAAATATATCAATTAATTTCTTAGCTTTAAGCTAGCTAAGACCAAGCTAGCTAAGAGCTACTGACCAAAATAATTTAGTTCTTTATTTAAAAAAAGAACAGATTTCATAACTTGCCCGTTATCGCAAAGAAAATAACGTCAATTTAGAAAGCTAGTAAAACACTCCCATGGCTTCTTCAACACAATCCAGGCGTTACAAGTAAACGCCTCCTTTCCTTTATATTATAATTTCATAATAATAAAATTAGAAACTTATTATATTTGCTTCAGTTATAGCAATTGTATGTTGTTACAAAAATGTTCCGAAAACTTTAAGAAAACTTGAAACTCATTTCTGTTAGAAAACCTGACAGCCGAGTGGTGTACAAAAATTAATGAACATAACTACCGTCATGTCTTATTTACCCTCAATAGAGTTGCTTTCCCCATAATTGGTTTCAACAGCCATAAAACTGATCGGAATTTGGGAAACATTTCATCTCGTTTTTCTTAATTTTCGATTGGCTTTAAACTAAGTGAGGCCCGTGGTATAAAACTTACTTATTACATTTAAATTGTAGTTATTTGCATGTTCTATAATATGTAATGCATATGTACGTAATTGTAGATTCTGAACATAAGAAAAGATTCAATAAACAAAGTAAAAACTTTTAAAAACAAAAAATTATTAAACCTTGCATTCATTAAAATATGTATGTATATTTTCTCTATTAAATCATTTACATTGTTTTCTAGCTCCAGGATTTTCGGCACAATATTTCCATTATTAACTTCAGTTTTCTTCATTGCATTCTGATTGGAACCATGATAGCACTTCGAAAACTGGTTTGTTTTTATCTTTTCCATATATGTGACGGAATTTATTAAATTACTGCTGACTGCTGAGCCCGCAAAAGGCTTGTTATCTATTTTAAATTCAATTCACGATTTAAATGTGAAATCTTTATAAAATAATATAAGTATATACCAGTATTATACCTTTTGAACATTTCAATTTTGAATCTATTGTTTGTTTTTTTCGATTTGTGTTCGAAAAATTTTCTTTTTTTTGCAAATACTGGCATTGCTCAAGTAATCGCTTATTATCTTTTTCCAGTTCATAGACCCTTTTTTTTAACTCTGTAGTTGTGTATAAATATATTATTAATAATAATAAAATTATTATATATGTATTATTATAGATATTACCTGCCTCTGAATTCAAAAACTTTTCATTTTTTTTTAACGCTTCATGATGGAGTCGATTACATTCAACCAAAAGTCGTGTATTTTCACATTTATATGGCTCCATTCCCAACTGCTCACATGATCTATCCTAATAAAATATTTTGCATGAAACAATTAGTAACTTTCAAATTAATATTAAAACAAATACAATTGAATATTATTTTCTCTTTTATCAGATCTCTTTATTGTATGATTTCTTATGAAAATTACAATAAGGTTACAAATCGTATCTAGGTAATTAATTAGTTACTAATTAAAAATAATCACCTAATGAGACAGCTCTACATATATTATGTTTGCAAACAAAGAATACCGTTCTTGTTGTTTCAGATGACGACCTTCTATTTATTACGCTAGACTTTAGGAAAATTAAAAAATCTATCTCAACTAGATTTTCTTTTGGGATTATAAGTCAATTGATTCAGTGCGGTTATTTTGTGAACTTAATTCAACTGAATTGAATAAATTGGTCTGGTATTTCAGCTGATCAAAAGTTAGATGCATTTAATAAGGAATTGCTTAGCCTTCGTCATCGCTATGTACCTTTTCGTACGTTACCGTCAATAATGTTTCTTGACGGTAAAACCTTTTTTTAAAAATTTAAGAAATAGAAAATATGCAGTTTGGAAAAAGTACCCTACTGAATATAACTGGATGAAGTTTAGAATTGCTAAAAACATAGCTGCTAGAGCTGTTCATAAGACTAAATCGCTTTGGAATAATATTAAAATACTTGAGGTAACAAGAAAAAGGAAAAATATATATAATGTGGGGCCGAATGCTCTAAATAACATCTTTGTTTATTCTGCAGACGATAATGACAACTCTTCTTCAATATTCTTAGATATAGATATTGTTGACGTTAATGAAGGCTTTAGCTTCTTATTGAAGATATTATTTTTAAGAATTTAATGAGTATTAAATACAATGCGGTTGGGTTAGATGAAACTCCTCTTAAATTCATAAAGCTAATTTTGCCATTCATAATATCACCATTAACTCATATTATAAACTGTTGTATTACTACCTCTATTTTTCCAGAGGCATGGGAAAAAGCAAAAGTTATTCTAATTGAGAAATAAGTGAATGCTTCATCAGTTTCTGACTATCGCCCTATCAGTATTCTTCCTTCTTTCCCTAAGGTTTGTAAGACTATAATGTCTGAGCAGATTAGCAATCATCTAAATATTTTCCATCTGCTATCTCCTGCGTTGTGCGTCTGCCATGCTGAAAGTCCTTGAAAATATTAGATTGAGCTATGATAGCGATTTGGTTATTTATTTATGTCTTCTCGATTTTCCAAAAGCATTTGACCGAGTTGATCACACTTTGCTCTGTAAAAAGCTCATAAATAATTTTCACGTCTACAGATTAACTTCTAAATTTATTTTTAGTTATTTAACTGAGACATCGCAGCCAGTAGTTATTGACAACAAATTTTCAAATTTTGAAAATCTGTTTTCTGGGGTTCCTCAAGGCTCGATTCTGGGGCCATTGCTATTTTCGATCTATATTAATGACGTTTTCTCAGTATGTCAATTCTCGAAGCTGCATGGATATGCTGATGATATACAAATGTATCATTTTTGTCTGAGTGATCATTTAAATGACCTTGTAACAGAGATTAATATAGATTTAACATGCATACATCGCTGGGCAGTTGAAACCAATATACTGCTAAATGCAGATAAAACCATCATTTTGCCGCTTACTAGGTTCGAATAGCACTTAGACGAATTACCTCAGGTGGCTATTGGAAACTCAATTATTAATAATTATTTGCCTCAGATATTTGAATTTCACTGCATACTCCAGTTAATGTGCGTGGCTTATTGGTCAAACAACTTATAATGCCTATAACTAGTTAGAACGGTTTGATCATCTAACAGTTTATAGGAACGCTATTCTGGGTTGTGACATTGAGCAGTATTTAAATATTCGAATCTGCTGATTTCGGTTTAAATTGAAAACTATTAAATATCCGGAGTATCTTTATAATTACTTGTAACTTATGCGTTCAAACAGATCTCTTCTTTTCATACTTCCAAGATATGATTTTGTTGCTACCACCAGATTTTTCTTTATTCATTCAGTCCGATTATGGAACGCTGTACCAAGCACAACCCGAAATGCATGTCACAGAGTTTATAAAAAGTTATTGATAACTGAACTAATTTAAATATATTATTTTTAATTTAAATTCAATGTTAATTTTAACTTAATTTCTAAACTTCCTTATCAGTATATAATAATATATAATTTCTAAATAAATTGTGACATATTAAGAAACCTTAAAATAGATCCGGTCAAAATATACATAACGAACTGAGTTCTGAAGCTTTATGCGAAAACCGACAGGCTGTCCTACTTAGCACTATCTAATCTCATAGAAATCATTAACCACATGGGGCGGTACGCATACCTTAGATCAGTCACAGAATAATCACGAAGATTATGAGGAATACTCAAATTAGTTAGTGAGATAGGTGAGACTCTGCAGAAACTTCCCAACTATCAGACAGTAAAAATGCCCAGATGCAATAACTCGGAAAACGCTCAACATTACAAAAAAAAAATTAGTTTCTTTAAAGTTTAATACATAGTAATTAGAATTTTTTTAATTGGAGGGATCTTAGATTAAATTGTTTACGTCAAGTTGATTTAAGATCATTAATTGTCGATTCTTGTGCTGCTCATATAGAAATGTTTTAACATGTATTATTAATTCAAGAAATTGAGGAGCATAAGGTAGATTTAGATTAATAATTAGACATGAATTTTATTCCTCAGGTTTATTTTATAAGGAGAAATTTCATTAAAAAATAAAATTGTTGATTGATCTAGATATTTAATAATTAGTTATTGATTATTATTATTTAAATTATTATAATGTTATTTAGAACATTATATCTATATTCGTATAGTCAACATTGAAAAATTTATTCAGAAGTTTATTCATTAAAAGTTAATTTATTTCATATTTTTGTTTTATTTATTTTATTAGTAGAAAAAATATAAAGAATGATTATAATTATTATAAGGATTTATCAGGGTTTAAAACTCGTTAAATTTTTATGAAATCTTAAATTCGCTAAAATTTCAAATTACTTACAGTAATTTACTTTTATACAAATATGATGGAGGTAAACTTGAAAATAGAAATAGAAATTTCGGTTTCTAATGTAATATGAAACATTTACGATGCATCGTAGCATTTTATTTTAAAAGCGCTGGATAGTTGCAATGTGTTTCTTGGTAGCACAACCCAGAATTGTATGTCATAAGTCCAAGCTAGCTTCAGTATTTTTTTATAGACTATTAGTTTGTTATAGATTGCCAGTTTAGAGCGCCTGTCGATGAGGTTGTAAAATTTGTTTAGCCTCAAGTTATGCTCTTCTCGTTTTTTCTTAACATGCGCTTTCCAGAGCATTTTGGCGCCGAGCGTAATGCCCAGTTATTTAGCTTCGTTGCCATGTGGAATGTTTGTGGCATCGATATGAATTGGTATATACTTACGGCCTTATTCATAAAAAGTTATAGTAGGTTTCTAATACATTTTTATCGAAAATGTTATTCATAAAGGTTATTTAACAGTGTTATAAAGCATTTATAAAACTCTATTCATAAACGTATTTTAAAGTTAAAATGCTGTTAAAATATGTCAAAATTTATAATAAGTTTATACCTTCTATAACAGCATTTTAAGCAAAATTTTTGATTGTGTAGTAATCTTTATTGGGTGAATTACAATTAAATATGGATGCCATAAGCATAATTAAAGAAATTGGTGAGTATTCAATTTAATTTTTTTTATATAATTAAAAACGAAATTATTGTGTAGATTTTTTAATTGGAATAGCCAAAAAAAATTGCCGCCATATAAAAACATATTAACAACGTGTAGATCCGTTTATGCTGCGTGATGATGAATTTCAACTGAGGTACCGATTTTCAAAAAAGGGCGTAGAAAAAATAATTGACTTGGTGAAACAGGACTTAACGTTTGATAATAGAGGCGCTGGAACTTCCGCAAGATTACAAGTTCAGTAGCTTTGCGATGTTGGAGTCGTAGAGAAGTAACTAATCTTTTTCATATACTATTACACACTAAAAGCTTTTAATATAAAAGGTACAAGACGATGCAGGTGATTTACACGGCCTTAGCCAGGCTACAGTCAGTCGCATTTGTGTTAGAGTAGCGAGGGCTCTTGCAAAACATGCCGCAACTGTGATTAAAATGCCAGAATCATTAATAGAAGAGGAAGCAAATATGAAAAGCTTCAAACGCATAAAAAATTTTTTAAATGTGATTGGTGCAATTGATTGATATGTGATGCAAATTTAAAAATTTGCAATGTTGTCGCAAGATGGAGAGGTAGTACGCACGACTGCCAAATTTTCGATGAGTCAATTCTTAAAGAACAGTTAGAGGCAGGAAAATTCAAAGGGCGCTTGGTTGGCGATTCAGGATACAAACTTCAACCACACCTATTCACTCCAATACTGAAACCACAAAACGCAAAAGAAGAACGATACAATGCTGCACACATTGCCATCAGAAATACAATTGAAAGATGCTTTGGTGTGTGGAAGCATAGATTTCGTTGTGTTCTAGATGGGTTGAATATATCATTGGAGAATGTGAAAACAGTTATAGTCGCACTTGCAGTATTGCACAATCTTGCAGTTACTTACAATGAAAATGAGTCCAAAATACCTTATAATTACAACAATGTTATTAACATTTGTATTATAGTTATAAAAGTTTATCATACGTTTATGAATAGTGTGCATTATAAGGCCATTATAAAGTTAAAATACATTTTAACTAAAATGTATTTAAAAAGCATTTTAAGAAATTTTTATGAATAAGGCCGTTATAATTTATCAATGTAAAGACTATATGTACAGATTTTCCCTTATTTAGTATGATTCGCAATTTTTTTGCCCATGAAGCAATTTGGTTGAGTTTGTGTTGTAGATTAACCGTCGCGTCTTCTATATCATTTTCGATTTCCAGAACCGCAGTATCATCTGCAATTGGTTTGCCGAGGGTAAATCATGTGTATACAGGAGATATAGAATGGG